GGCTTTCCATAGGAACACTCTGCTCACAACCCTGTAGTCTGCTGTGTTCTTGGTATTTAACAATTGTTTGAATAATCAATGATGTCTTTTGTGCCCAATGGTGTAGCAGTACCAGATGGAACAATAAGAACATAAGAGATGCCAATGTTGGATCAGGCCAAAGGCCCATCTAGTCCAACACTCTGTACCACACAGTGGCCAGAAATACCAGTGCCATCAGGAGGTCCACCAGTGGGGCCAGGACATTAGAAGCCCTCCCACTGTTGTCCCCCCCAAGCACCAAGATGACAGAGCATCACTTGCCCCAGAGTCCCTATCTATACCTTGTGGCTAATAGCCACTGATGGACCTCTGCTCCATATGCTTATCTAATTCCCTTTTGAAGCCGTCCATGCTTGTAGCTGCCACCACTTCCTGTGGCAGTGAATTCCAAGTGTTAATCACTCTTTGGGTGAAGAAGTACTTCCTTTTATCCGTTCTAACCCGACCGCTCAGCAATTTCATGGAGTGCCCACGGGTTCTTGTATTGTGAGAAAGGGAGAAAAGTACCTCTTTCTCTACCTGCTCTTTCCCATGCATAATCTTATAAACCTCAATCATGTCACCCCTCAGTCGTCGTTTCTCCAAGCTAAAGAGCCCTAAGCGCTTTAACCTTTCCTCATAGGGAAAGTGTTCCAACCCTTTTATCATTCGAGTTGCCCTTTTCTGCACTTTTTCCAAAGCTATAATATCCTTTTTAAGGTGTGGTGACCAGAACTGCACACAGTATTCCAAATGAGGTCTCACCATTGATTTATATAGGGGCATTATTATATTGGCTGATCTGTTTTCAATACCCTTCCTAATAATCCCCAGCATAGCATTGGCCTTCTTTATTGCAGTCACACACTGTCTCGACATTTTCAGTGAGTTATCCACTACAACTCCAAGATCTCTCTCTTGCTCAGTCTCTGCCAGTTCAGACCCCATCAATGTGTATTTATATTTAGGATTTTTGGCTCCAATGTGCATCACCTTGCACTTGGCCACATTGAACCCCATTTGCCATGTTGACGCCCACTCGCCCATCTTTGACAGATCCCTTTGGAGTGCCTCACAATCCTCACTGGTTTTCACCACCCTGAACAACTTCGTATCATCCGCAAATTTAGCCACTTCACTGCTTACTCCCAACTCCAAATCATTAATGAACAAGTTAAAAAGCAGTGGACCAAGTACTGATCCCTGTGGTACCCCACTGCTTACACCCCTCCACTGGGAGAACTGCCCATTTATACTCACTCTCTGTTTTCTATTAATTAGCCAGTTTTTGATCCATATCCATAAAAGGACTTGTCCTTTTATCCCATGATTTTTGAGCTTACTCAGGAGCCTTTGATGAGGAACTTTATCAAAAGCTTCCTGGAAGTCAAGGTAAACAATATCTATTGGATTCCCCTTGTCCACATGTTTGTTCACCCCCTCAAAGAACATTAACAGGTTAGTGAGACAAGATCTTCCCTTACAGAACCCATGTTGAGTCTGCCTCAATAGGTTTTGTTCATCTATGTGCCTACTAATTCTTTCCTTAATAATGGTTTCCACCAATTTACCCGGTATCGACGTCAGACTGACTGGCCTGTAATTTCCCAGATCTCCTCTGGAACCCTTTTTAAAGATGGGAGTGACATTAGCTACCTTCCAGTCCTCAGGAATGATGGGAGAGATTACATATTTTTGTCAGGAGATCCACAAGTTCACAATTGAGTTCTTTCAGAACTCTTGGATGTATGCCATCTGGGCCTGGTGATTTATCCATTTTTAAGTTGTCTATCAGTTTTAGGACCTCCTCTCTCATCACCTCAATCTGTCTCAGGTCTTTCAACACCCCTCCTGAACTCAGCGGCTCTGGAGTGGGGAAGCACCTCTCATCTTCCACAGTGAAGACGGAGGCAAAAAATGCATTTAGCTTCTCAGCCATTTCCCTATCATCCTTCAGTAAATAAACTGAGTTATCATCCTTTTTCAGATTAAAAAATAGACTGATTGCAAACATCATATCCCACCACATTCCCTGATAGGGACCCAGTGAGGTGTGTTAGGCTGAAAATGGTTGAGTGGCTGAGGTCACCTGGCAGACTTCCATGGCAAAGAAGAAATTCAAATCTGTGTTTTCTAGATCCTAGTCAGGCAATCTAACCACTATCCCTCCTTGGTTTTGTTACAGAGGGGATATTTTCTACCCTCCCTGCCTGTGCTGCCTGTCCTTGTAATCAGTTCTTGCGGTTAATATGCTGCTATACTCCAACATTCATAGGATGGAGAGCTGAGTTGTATTTTGAGTTTTATTTTGAGTCTTTGTGTTCATAGCCCTGCAGACTCCATCACACATATATGTGAAGAAATAGCCAGAGGGGAGGCAGTATACACACTATCCCACCTATAACAATGATTTCTGAAACTATGTTTTGTTCCATACTCGATTGTGGTTTATGTTCCATGTATTCAAATACTGATAAACTTGTACGGTCCTCAGTCCACTTATTGACAGGAGATGGGAATGTATCTCTCCAGTGTTTTAATACAAATCTTTTAGCTGTAGTACGGGCACAGAGGGTCCATTTTCATTGATCACTGGTTAGCCTCCAAGAGATGGACAGATAGTTTAAAAGTACATAAGCATCCTCAAGAATCCATGAACACTCTAACGCAAAGTTGATATGAGTAATAACTTCCTCCCAGTAGAAACAAATGACTGGACACACCCAAAGCATATGCTTAAGGAGCACATGTTGTCTGTTACAATGCCAAGAATGCCAACATTTAGACAGTTCACTCATTCCTTTACTAAAGAGTCACTCTGGTGTCCAGTATATCACACATACATGCATGCATGCATGCATGCATACATGCATGCATACATACATACATACATACATACATACATACAGAATATATTGAAACTTAAGATCCATAGAGAGAGCAGGTATAAAATTTAAGGCCATATTGCACTGGCAAAATAGGGTGACCTAGCTCCTTATTCCATTCATTCCTGAGACCTGCATATCATATTTATTAACCAACACCAAACATTTAGACACAAAAATATTGTGATTTATGTTCTAGTGTGTCCAGAAGAAAAGGGGACTCTGAGACACTGAATGCATCAGCGCCATATGTAAATACGGACAGATGTTGCAACTGGAAGAATTGCTGTTCAACAGAAGTTGACAAGTTATGTCGGTACTTCAGCTGAGAAAATGACACAAACGCATCATCATAGTCTATCAATAGAGCCAATGAAAAAAACAGCCTATCTGTTAAAGCCATCAATAAAAAAAGACTTTCTCCTAATTTTTTTGTTTGGATTGGTCCATAACTTTAATTTAGAATCTGAAAACAGATTTATTTGATATTGTAATGGCTTTATGAGCCATAGTTCTCTAGCTGCCGAAACTACAGCAAGAACTGGATCCATTCTAGCATAAGTAAGTCCTAAAACATTCTATTTAGAAAGAAGCCTCATACAAGAAGCCCCCCAAAGAGCCCAAGATGCCTGATTATATAAACTGAGATCAGAGGAACCACATTCTCCTTGGGCTACACCACACTGCCTTCCCTCCCAGACAGTATCTTAGACAACGGTTAATGTGGAAAAAAACACAGATTCACCAACAATTTATTTGACGTTCCACCAGGAGATGTGGCAACAACCTTGAAAACATACACATATATAGACTTCTATATCAGTTTTTCTCCTCCCCTCCCCAGTATTTTCAGACTTAAACATTTCTAACTTGGACTCCACTTCCAGTGTGAACATAACCCCAGCATTAGCTGTGATGTCTTAGAAGAAGTGGGGAATCTTTTGTATTTTCCTGGAATGTGGCTGGATGGTGCAAATCCCTTGAGTTGCTCTTCACTGTATTTCACTGCAAGAGATTTCAGCTACAGATGATCATTTTTGCACCATTTTTTTGACAATGTGTATCCCTGCTGGCAAAGATCCCTCTATAGGTAGACTGAGAGCTGATATTGCATGTCTGGTCTCCTATACCTTGAAGACAAAATGATCTTCTCGTAGCATCATCTGTGACGTACATTCAGCATGTTCTGGCTAGTTCTCTCCCATCCTTACAGTATCTGTAGGTGACGAACATGCTTAGAATGTTATGGATAAAAGTGCCTCCCACCCGTTTCTATCAACCTACTCCCCCCCATGGATGAGAGACATAGGACATACAATAGAGCATTGGCCAGCTACATGGAAATCATTGAAATATGTATGAGCGACCAACTATAAAGAAAATATTTATAAGGTGTACCATAGATGGTACTGGTCCCCGGATAGGTTAGCGAAATGTGACCAGTCTTTATCCAAGATATGTTGGAAATGCGGAAAAAATATAGGGACGTATTTTCACATGTGGTGGCGATGCGTGAAAGTGGAGAAGTATTGGAGAATGATAGGAAAGCTTATTCAGGACATTATGAAATTAAAAATGACTCTAACCCCGGAAATAGCACTATTAAATATGGTACTGGAAGAGTATCCACAAAATAACAAATACTTATTAACATTTATAGTGACTACTGCTAGGATATTGATGGCTAAATATTGGAAATGTGAGATTTTGCCAACAAGAGAAGAAATTATATTGAAACTGATGGAGTTAGCAGAAATGGACAAACTAATGTTAAGTCTTCAAGGGAAAGATGGAGGTGTATTTAAAAAAAGATGGGAAAGAATGTATATTTGGATCCAAGGCACATGGGGATGTATGGATTGAAATATATATCTGAAGAAGTTTATGTAAATATAATAAGACTCAAGTTTTGTAAGTAAGAATGGATATATGTAAATTGGGAAAATGATAAATAAATGTATATTTTAAAAAACCCTACTCCCCCCCAAAAAAAATCTGTACTCTAAACATAAACTATCACCATTTGGCCATAAGACCTCCACAATCAAACTGGGCTGTTGTGACCAGGGAAATGGGAAGATGGCCCCATTCTGCTCACAGTTTCAAGGTTTGCCTCTTCAGACAGTCTCTCAAGGCCTCTTTCACCTTCTCATTTCTCAGGGTATATATAAAAGGGTTGAGCAAAGGGGTCACCACAGCGGTGAGTACAGCTACAGCCTTCTGAACAGCCAGAGAGCGCCCCTGACCCGGCAAAGAGTACATGAAGATGGCGCTGCCATAGAAGATGGAAGCTACAGTAAGATGGGATGCGCAGGTAGAAAATGTCTTTAGTCGACCTTTAGTGGAGTTCATACGCACTATGGTGGTGATAATGTAGACATAAGAGACACCAGTGACAGCCAGTGAGCTGAGCAAAACGACTGAAGAGAGGATAGACACCAGGGCTAGGATGAACTGAACTTCATTGCAAGACAGCTTTATCATTGGGGCATAGTCACAGAAGAAATGGTCAATGACATTAGAGCCACAGAAAGTCAACTGGAAGAACAGTACAATTGGGCCAATGGTAGAAAGGAAACCACCTATCCAGCAGCCTAGGACCAACGTCATGCAGACACGACCATTCACAATGATGGCATAGCGAAGTGGGTGGCAGACGGCAACGTAACGGTCAAATGACATCACGGCGATAAGGATGAACTCGGTAGTGCCAAGGAAGAAGTAGAAATAACATTGGGCAGCACAGCCCAGGAAAGAGATGGTTTTGTTCAAGGAGACCAGATTTGCCAACATCTTTGGGGTGATTGTCAAGACAAAGAGGATCTCCAGGAGGGAGAGATTGCAGAGAAAGAAGTACATGGAGGTCTGGAGCTGTTGGGCGAGGCATACCAGTGTGATGATGGTGATGTTCCCAGTCAGTGTTAACAGGAAAACGGCAAGAAGCATCACAAAGAAGAGGTTCTCCACAGACTTGGGAAGTTGGAAGCCAATTAAAATGAACTCTGTCACCTGTGTTGTGCTACTCTGATTCCTTGGTGCAATTTCCGTTTGAGCTGAGACACCACCTAGAAGTCAAAGAGAGGCACATTTTGATTTTTTTAAAATTTTTTATTCATAAAGCAAAAAAGCACAACAGCAATTACATACAAGTCATAAACAACCTTCTTTACAGTGAGTGGTGAACCAAACCGACACTTATAAATCCCATTAGTCCTAACAAGTTAACCTTTCTTGTAACTCTCTAATCAGCGAACTACTTAAAGAAGCAACTAAACCAGCTTCCTTAATGGTGATCGTTCTAATGTACTATATCCTATGATTTGGATTAACAATAAACTAAACTAAGCGCTGCCGCCAAAAGATTTGCCAGACTGTCCCAAACTGGTGCTTTTTGACAGATTAGAGGCAGTTACGGCATCTAGGGCCCAAAAAGAGCTTATTTTAAGTTTGTTTGATTCAGAGCTGCCCCCTTTCTGCCTTCCAAGCGACCAGGCACACCATAGGTTCGCCCTTTGCTTGAGACGGGACAAGATGCCCTTTCGTAAGACCCTTCTCATAGAAATATAACAGAAGAAGAGGAAAAGAAGAGATTTATACCCCACCCTTCACTACCCTAAGGAGTCTCAGAACATAAGAACATAAGAAAAGCGAATGTTGGATCAGGCCAGTGGCCCATCCAGTCCAACACTCTGTCACACAAGTGGCCAAAAATACCAGGTGCCATAAGGAGGTCCAGCAGTGGGGCCACTTACAATCTCCTTCCCCTTCCCCTTCCCACAACAGACAGCCTGCGAGGTAGGTGGGGCTGAGAGAGCTCTTTTGAGAACTACCCTTGAGAGAACAAATTCAAGGGTTAGGACTCCCTTTGTCTGACAAAGTGAGCGTTGACTCCCAAAAGCTCATACTCCAGGAAATCTTGTTGGTTTCTAAGGTGCTACTGGACTTGAACCTTGCAGCCCTAGAAATTATTTCACTTTACTTTTAGTATTGTCTATAAAGCACAGTGGGCTTAGACAGAAAACTTACAAGTTACCAAAACAAACAAACAAACAAACAAACAAACAAACAAAGCACCACATAAAAAGAAGTGAAAGGCGCCATAGAAATGCCACATAAATGTATACAAGTGGAGTAGATTATTTTTTTTTGAACCAGAATTTAAGGGGCATGCAAAGTTGAAACACTTTTTATGAGAGAGACATTTAATTTATAACTGAGTTCAAAGGATGCTCAGTCTTCGTAACAGTTCAGTTTACGTGTAATACCCCAAGTGCAATTAAACATCTTGTCATTGAGAATCTTGAGGTATCCCATGAAGTGCCATGTACCAAGTATCATGTATTTACACTTACCATCTAATATTGGCATTAGTGACAATGGAGACAATTCATAGAATCTTTTTGTCTTGTTGTGGCTGCATATCTTGCTTTCATCCTCTCTACAGAATGGCAGCTTAAGCTTTTTATAAAGGTACCGGAGGGAGGTTGTTAAGCTTCGCAAAGTTGTTCTACATAGATGTTGCTCTGCATAGATTGTCAGGGGAACCTCTCACAACTTGGGAGTATCTTATTAAGTTGGCGATTCAGTACCAGTGGCACTGGAATGGCACTTTGCTAGACTGACCATTGTGACAAGTTTTCAGAATGGCAAGTGCTCCCAAATGTGCCTACCCGAGAAGCCTGAACAGTTGCTGAGGCCCCAGTGAAACTCAGAAATGAAGTGGGGCTATCAGAGAAAGGGACTTCACTAGTTCTAACTCTTGTCTCTATATATGATTTATATCATGACACAGAGCCCGTGTGGCATAGCGGTTAGAGTGTAGGACAAGGACCTGGGACACTGAGCTTCAAATGCCCATTCTGCCATGGAAGAGACCGTCCAGTTAATGATTCTGGATATAGAGGAAAAGGGAACTGGCAAAGACTCACAAAGAAATACTTGAAAACAGTGTCTGAGATTGATATTCCCTCTAAAAGATCCTTTTCTCTGGGTCATTGGCCAAGTTCAGACTGGGAGTTTGGCCCGGCAGCCAAACGTTTCAGGAGCGTTTCAGTAGCGGTTTAAAGGGGTGGGTTCAAACAGGCACATCTGTCAGGCGCCCCCCAGCCGTACTCAAGCCGTCTTGTGCCGCTTCCCTCCCGAGTTTAAAAAGTACCAAGTGAAAGTGGTAGCAAACCATGTGTAGAGCTTGATTCCGGTTGATTCCGGTTACCTGATGTCTGAACGCAAGTGCTGCTAAGGTGGGAACAACCCGCAGTCATTGATAATAGGCACTGGCTGTTTCCGCAGCAGGCGCCCATGCGCATAGGCGCATGCAGTGGAGTGCAGAAGCAGCCGCTAACAGCCCACCAAGGGCGGGCCAACAGTGCAAATGCTCCCGTGCACTTCCTCCACGGAATTCTCCCACTTCACCCGCTGCAGTGTGAATGGGAATACCACGAACAAGCTGTTCCCGGTCTGTTCCGGGTCTTCTTCGCCACGACTCCCTAGCGCTTCACATTGCCAATCTGAACTCTGCCATTAATAAGGTGTTGACCATATGAAACGTGGCGTCTTGTGAACAATTTCTAATAAGAACTATGTTTCCTGTGTGTATGTCTTCCTTGTTTAGGCTCTTTTGCGCCCTTAGGCTTGTTTTTCATTTAATAAAATAACTTCTTGATTAGAATGGTATTAAACAGCATCAGGGGTCATTTCCTGCGGGAGCGCACAGGAGTGGAGCTCCGGCAGTAAGGAGCCCAGGGGGTGGGCACATGCAACAAGCCCTGCCCCCTGCTCCCAGCAGCCCTCAGTTGGGCCACAAGGATCAAGAAGCATCCAGGTAAGTTGCAGAGCCCGCCCCAGCCCGTCTTCAGGTACAAGCTCTCCCTCCTCTGCGAGGACAGATCTGCACGTCCCCCCCCCCCAATAGCTAGCAATCCGAAATAGTCCAGTGAAGCCTGAGTGGTGGGCGTTGCCTTCTGACACACTTCTGGTGATGTCAGGGGGTGTGGTATATGTAAATTAGTTATGCTAATAAGTTATGCTACTGAGCTCCTGCACCTCTTTTTCTATGAAATGACCCCTGAACAACATGAGGAATAGGGCAGAGGGCTCAATATAGGGAAGAAAGGTCCAGTAGGAACACGAATATTGGCTAATCGTATCATATGGATTGCTTATCATATCACTGAAACCTGCTCTAAGGAAATTCCAAAAAGGCAATTTGCTACACTGAGCAACAGCAAATCCGATCCCTGTATTGCCTGTCACGAAATTTACTGCAAAAATAACGAGTGAAATGTTAGCCTCCTCACTCTGCAGCATCGTATTGGCTAGTGATTGTGCTACTACCATGGGGGCAGTATTTGCCTGCAGTTCATTGCTTGAGTGATGAGTCGACATTCGAAGCTCAGTGACCTACAGAGAAAAGGTGCAGTCCAGTGTCCACAATCAGTGAAGGGCTGTAGTCTCTGTTTCTCAACAAGTCTTCATAAGAGGGGGGGGAAATATAGGAAGATGTCAGTCTAAGAACTCAGTACCATGTATATGGATGTGTGAGCAGGGCTGCTCATGTGGTGTTTCACTGGGAGAAATACAGCCATGCTGCCCACTCGGGTGCTGCTGAAAGGGGAAGAGATTTATTTTATTTATTTATTTAACCTTCGATTTCATATACCACCCTAACCTCCTTGGGGTTCTCTGGGCAGTTTACATGTGGGGTGCTAAGCATATTATACCTTAACTTGGGCCACATTTGCAGGGGATGGGACAGCCTACCGGCACCCAGGTGGAGGCTGATGTTTCTTTTTCCGGCTCGGCTCTAGTACTAGTAGTCCATCGGCTAGATGTCCCTCCTGGTGCTCAGGCAGACCGACACGACTCACATCCTCCTCCGGCTTCGGCTGCATCCCTCGGGCTCTGCCACGCCTCCAGATGATGTTATCGTGCACCTCCACCTCCGCCGACGCCAGCCGCCTGTTGTTCCTGCTGCTGGCCACCAGGGATCGCTTCCTCTGGCCCTGCTGCTGTTGCCTGCTGCCGCCGCCGCCACGTTACCAAGCACACGCCGCCTCCACCGCCAGTACTCCACTGCAGCTGGTGTCCACCGACGCCGCCGTCGCGTTCCTCCACACACCTCACTAGAGGTGTACTATTACTGGAGGACGCTGAGAAGTGGAGATGGAGGCTCTTACACAGTACAATGCAGACACCAAGTGACTGAAAAGACAGCATAACCTAGTGCTGGCAAAGGATGTCATCCCTTGCACCGAAGTCAGGGCCCCTATCCATTTGGCAGCCCTGTGATTCTGCACGATGCTCTAGGGGCAGCTTCAGTGTTTCCATCTCTATATCCTGCCGTGACACATGCCAATAAATGCAATGACCCCCCCCCCGCCATCACGGCTACTAAGTTAAACCATCCAAAGACAGAAAATATACTTTAATGGCATAAAGTGTATATCACATTAAGCGGTCCTGTTCACAATTACAAGATGCAACTTCTAAACCCTCTCCAAAAGCACCAGGTGTTCAAAATTTTAAAGAGGAGCATGTGATGGTGGTAGATCATCAGTGCCACTTTACGTCCATTGTCAGAACAGCAGAAGTTGGGGGGGGAGCTTGCAGGGAGCCATTCTTCTCAGGGTCAGTGGACCAGCGGGTTGCAGACATGGGAACCTCAATCTCCCTAGTGTCTCATGGCATGGTTTCTGACTTTGATATTATATCCAACTTGACATGCAGCATAAAAGTGCCACTGGTGAACTTGTCACCATCCCAATGGACGGGATTCCTCTAGAACAGGGAGGGTGGGTTATCTGTGAAAAAGATGAAGTTAGAGTAGACTAAGATCTCCTCCTCATTTTCAGCCAGGACATACTCTATTCTCTAAATGTGATTGTTCAGAGCCAAACTCACAAGGGGGTATCTGAGGGAAGTGTATCTTTGGGGGGGGGGCTCTAACTGTATCAGCTCAATGGGAGGAACTTTCTAAGCTTCCACTGTAGGAGGGATGGGCTCAGATATCCTAGAAAGGGTGGCCAGCCCATCCTGGAGGCAGAGAGTTCGGGTCAGCCCAGGAGAAGGGGGAAAGTGGCACCATCCAAACCTACCCATGCTGCCAAAGACAAATGCAATCCGAGGCACACTGGGTAGCTGGATTTGTACCCGGTCAGTAGACCAGACTGAAGACTGGACAGCTGAGGACCACCTGCCTGGTCCCTCTCAGGAGGGACTCTGACCAGGCCTCTGATTGGCTGGCTGGAGAGGAGAGCTGTGGGGGCCACAGCACACCTTCAAGAAGATGATGCCCAGTCCAGTGACCTGCCCACTCAGCAGGACATAAAGGGGACCCCTGGTAAAGTAGGCCACCTGTTCTTACCACAGCAAGACTGAACGCAAGTGCTGGATAAAAACTAGATCTTGCCAGTGGTCTATGTTTCAGGGGTGACATTGTAATGGATAGGTAGGATCTAGAGTTGGCCAGATTGTGCTCGGTGGAGTTTATTTCTGTTTTTAGGCTCATGCTACAAGTAAATCAAGTAATGAATTATGTCCAACATCAAGCAAATGGTTTCAGGCTACTGTTTGTCTCTATCCACAACAAGAGGGGAAGAAAAACTAAACCAACCAAGCAAAACCCTCCAAAGGAAATTTGCATAACTTGTTAAGGGCCAACAGTTAAAAACATAAATAGGTATAGATAAAAGTGTCAAATGGTACAAAGTACACTGTTATGGAGCTGCGGTGGCTCAAGTGGTTAAGACGCTGGACTGCAGGCTGTGGAAGGTCGGTAGTTCAGCAGTTTGAGACCCGAGTGCGCTGCATGACAGAGTGAGCTCCCATCTCTAGTTCCAGCTCTTGCCAACCTAACAGTTCGAAAGCAAGAAATTGCAAGTATATAAATAGGTACCACTTTGGTGGGAAGGTAACAGCCTGATAAGGCAATTTTACTTGCACTCTTACGACCTAAACTGAAAGGTACATATTGGTACTAATATTATTTCCAGTATATGCAACTATTTCTGACACAAGGTCAGATACATTTGTGTCCCCACAAATAAAAATCTTTCAGTGTGTCATTCAATTCCAGATTGGAACATTGAATTTTTGGTCCTGTATTAATTGTTTACTGCCTAACATGTGTAACGGGGACTTTGTCTCATGGTGTATTTTGTACTCTGTATTATTTGACCTCTGAAGAAGGCTCTTGTGAGCCAAAACATATCAGGTCATACACTGTTCTTTGTGCATTCGTCCCTTTAAACATTTTATGAGGCTTGATTTGGGCCCTTACAAGGTTTTTATATGTCTTTCAAATAAACACACTTTTGTCTATACCTATTTTGGTTTTTAACTTTCAGCCCTTAACAAGTTTTCTAAACTTCCTTTGGATTTTGTTAGTGTTTGGTCCTTTCCACACTAGACCTTAAATCCTGGTTCAACCCTGTCCCCAAACTTACATTCTACACTACACACGAGTTCACCCCTGTAATTATCTCAGGGTATTTTTTTGTTTCCACATTACATTGAGGTCACCCCAGTTTTGCCCCACACTTGTCCCGGGATAAACGGATGCTGTTATAACCAGGGATAAATGCAAGGTATTGTGTCGCGAGTTGAACTCTGATAAAACCAGGGATGAGATCCAAGTGTAGAAAGGACCATTGTCTCTAGCCAGTTTTCCCGCTAAGGAGGCTGTTGATCAGTCGTTCTAAAAACAAAATTCTCTGCTACCAAAGGTGCCGTTCTGAGGCCAAACTTAACAGCTGTATCCTCCTCCAGTTATATCAGCACAATCTGTAATTATCTAAATCACTGTAATCTGTTTCCATGGCTGAAGTTCACTTACTTCTGGAATGAGCAAAATCTAGACAGGGTTATAACTATCCCTCCCACTGTCCACTGAGAAAAGGGACTCGGATCAACAGGGCTCTGGTCATTTCCATCTCTTGCCATGTGCTTAGTGAAGCCAGGCTTGCAATGGGAGTACTTGCTCTCTCAACCAGCATTCAGGGAATGCAGCTAGAACTATGAAGAAGGTTCTTTTTAAAAAGCTGGTCGAAGTATCTGCAGACTCCGGTGCCACCTCAAGATAGCCTGACTGACCCAGGATGAGGCTGAAATTGGTCACAGGTGACGCTGTGTCCAAACACCAGCTATGTTCCACAGTGTTGTTGGGGATAGTACTGGTGATCCCTCCATCTCCCATAACATGCCAAGGAGCTATTCCTCAGTGCCCCATGAAGGATCCCCTCCCTGTTCCACATGAGTGGTACCAGCCAGGAGATCTTCTCATTGGTGGGATTTCATCTCAGATCTTTTACCATTTTCAGGAACTACTCTTTGATGAACATCCGGCTGAGAAGTTGTTCGGGGTTCCACAGTAAGGAATTATTCTCCCCCCCCCCTTTCTTCCTAAACTTGCTCATTTCTTTCTGCCAGTGACAGAGTACTCAACGAAACAAGGGGTGAGATTGGTTCAACTCAACAACCCCTCCTTAGACATCACATTCTGAATCTTAGGAGGACTTCTCTGTTTGCAGAACACATGGGCTTTCTTATCCAGTCGTGAGAATTGTTGATGTTTTGGAAGGCAGGGGGGAGCGGTACTACACCACACAACTTTTAGAGGCAAAAATAAGTCCATATGTGTAGCATTTCATTGTGATCACCGCCTGGGTCGCTTCCTTCTGCCCCTTCTCTATACACTGCCATATCTACTCTGCAACAGCCCGTCTTTGGTTGCACTGAAAGACAAGACGTTGAAAATTCTTTTGGCTCATGATCAATGCTCCCTCTAAGCTGTGGGGTCTTGTGAGCTACTAGCATTAAAGCTGTGAGCGAGCAACTTGGCTACTGCATACATTAGTGACTCACACAGAAATGTGTGAGTCAGAGACTAAAGAACTGTGGGCTAGCTCACACTAACTCAGCTTAGAAGGAACAGTGCTCATGATAGAGCAGAAATACATGGCCACTGTTCCCTCTAAGCTGAGTTAGTGTGAGCTGGCTCACAGTCTTTTCGCTCCGGCTCACACATTTTTGTCTTAGCTCAGGAAGGTTGGCTCCAGAACAAACTAATTTATGCAGTAGCCAAATCGCTCGCTCACAGCTTTAATGCTCACAAGACTCCACAGCTTAGAGGGAGCATTGGACATGGCTGTCCTCTTGTATTGCATCTTAGATGCTGCAGTATGTGAAAGAGCAGGCTGTCCACGGCTTGATGCCTTAACATCCTTTCAGCCAAATATGGTGACACCAATGGTTTTTAAGGCAAGATGTTAACAGAGATGGTTTTCCATTGCTTGCCTCTACACAGCAAACCATTTTCTCATTTAAATACTAATCAGGACCAACCCCTGCTTAGTTTCAAAAATCCAGTAAAACAGTAAATCACTGTGTACAAATAAACAATATAAGTTGATTTTTATCTGCAATGTTTTAGAATTCAATTATCAACAAAATTACAACCATAACACTATAATATACAATATAAAGCTAAGCAGTACATATAGAATATTACAGTACTAGTTGTAGACAAATGACGGAGTTCTAGTACACTGTCCATTTGCGAGTCCTTCTTCAGGTTTGTCATTCTGTACTTATATCTTCATTAGAATGAAGTGCTGCAAGCTGCAATGGAGTGTAACATGCTTAATAACCACAAACATAAAATTAATATATAGAGGAGCATTTTACAATTCATAAACTCACCCATATTTCAAAATGTTAATTCTTATACAATTTTTTTATGTACGCTACCGCACTTATTCTAGAAAAAAGCAGACAAGCACAATGAGTATTACACAGTCCTTCAGTGACAACATATACAAAGATAATTCAAAATAAAGAAAACATTTTAAAATTTACCAACCTGGTGACTGGGGAGCTCCTATAGCAAGCTCTAATGTGACAAGGTCTACAGTATATAATAATTGGCTAAGCTTCCCTCAGTGTGGCACAATGTCTCAATGGAAAATTTGTAGGCTGCAACAGGTGTTATGTTTTAAGATGGCATGTTCTATCTTAAAGGTACCCTGATCATTTACAGAAAAGAACTCAAGTCTAATTCCTGATTTAATCCTGATGGCATCAGTGTATGTAGCCTGAAGATAAATTCAGCTTCTCTTTGTAATAAAACCCGGGATATATCCACTTGATTATAGGATTGTGATCTGTAATGAAACAATACCATAAACTTAAAATCTTCTGGTTTGTGTGCGGCAGTTTTGAAATGGGCAACCATTGGAGCAGACTCCACCTGGTTCCTAATGCGAGAGAGATGTTCCTGAATGTGAATTTTTATAGGTCTTGTACTGATTCCTATGTAGACCAATTTATATACACATACACAGGCATATACCACCTTAGAGGTATTACAATTACTGAAATGATTAATCTTCACTTGCTCTGACCTAGTGAGATGCTGGAAAACAGAACCTTCAATTGATAGTGAACACACATTACAACTTTCCCCACATTTAAAGTGTCCCACTCTGACTGGAACTGTATTATGTTGTCTACTCATATCAGAATGGACCAAAACATCTCCTAAATTTCTGGTGCTTCTAAAACCTATTAAAGGAGTCCAGGTGCACCCTGGAACCTCACTGAGTAAATGCCAATGCTTTAGTATAATAGCTTTTATAGGTTTTTCTAAGAGATTATATTGAAAAGTACACTGAATGTGATTACTATCTGTTTTGGCTTTGTTCTGCAATAAGGACATTCTATTTATTTTGTTAGTTCTAGAGAAAGCAGAATAGACTATGTGTTCTGGGTACCCCCTGTCTAAGAATTGACCCATCATTTTCTTAGAGTCCTGCTCATAATCAGAGCGAAGTGTAGAATTTCTTTTAAGTCTCAATAATTGTCCATATGGTATGTTGTTGCATAATTGAGGTGAATGATAAGAGTCATATTTTAAAAAGGGATTCTTATCAGAGCTCTTACAGAATGTCTTGAAATATAATGTTCTATTCTCACTGATGGTAATGAGCACATCCAGAAAGTTGATGTAATGATGGTGATGATGTTCAGTAAACTTGATAGTGAGTGGCATGCAATGAATTTAGCCATACATAAAATTGCTGAAATTTACTTTCATCTCTAAAAAGACAGATGATGTCGTCAATATACCTTTTCCAAAAAAATATATGGTCATAGAAGGGATTACACGACTTGTCAAAAATAAACTTCTCTTCCCGGCATCCGGTCGAGCTTTGATGGACGGCTGACGCGTCCTGAAATTGCTCAGGGCGGGCGACAGCTTCTTTCGACAGCTTGGGTTATTTACAGCCCAACGCAGCACCCCTCCGTGCGGGGGGGAGCCAAGAATGCAGCAGTGCCCAAGCAGAAGTTGAGATCAGAATGATTTATGTCCCGGAGGGGGCATGTTTCACTCTTTGAACTCCTTCTACGAAGCGGGCAGAAGCAGATCATCACTACAGAAGCTGTTCGAGCTGGAATTCCAGCATAAACCCACCATCAGCCGACCTCTTGGGGAAGGAAAACAGTGAGTTGGATGAAAAGAAGCAATGTGCACCCCAGTTTAGAAGTGTGAGATAACAATAACAGATATGCTTACCGTTTAATGGAGTAAAAGACATTTTGACATAGCGGTCAAGCGGATATTAAATCTAGCATCCCGATGGTGTAATTTTGGAGGAAAAAGCCGTGTTTATTACTCTTAAAATCACTTAAAAAATAACTTTGTTGAACATTCCTGTGGTGAGCAAAAGTGAAATTGACGAAAGCTATCGCGAGTCTTGAATGCCTGTTGCCACGTTGAAAGCCTTCCGACAGGAAGAAAACCATCAATACATCGCACAGAGTGGCCCGGTGGACTGTCTGGTAACCGGAAGAAGATCGACTATGGTCCTGTTCACACGAGGCAATTTGGCCCAGGAGCAGGACAGTTCGGGGGCGGATCAAACCAGCGCGATCACACCACAACATCTGGGAAGCATCATGCTTCCGCCCCCGAACTGGACCTTCCCGGGAAAAAGCGCCTCAAGTTGACACCACCTACCTCGGTGGTTCAACGAGTAGACGCGCTGCAATCCGGGCATCTGATCGCCGGCGCTCCCTTGCGCCGGCACAATCCCGGCCCGGAGCCGAACTGCG